TAAATTCGGTGCATTATTTATCACGAATATCATTACTATTAGCATTATCTACAATATGAAAAACATTCCTTTGTTGTAAATAAAGCACCATATTGGAAAAGGGTTCGATAAGGATTCGATAAGATACGCGATTTAAATTTTATATCACCACATAACATTTTAGAAAGTTGTACAGTAAAAATTTACGAGGATGAATTTCAACCATCCATGAGTATATATTTATTTGATTAATTTATCAACAGTATCACAGTATTTTATGTTGATAAAAAAGCAATTGTGTGACGCGTAAAATATTGGGTATTTCATTTCTTTGTATGAATAAAGGCGTTATCAAAACGTTTGAGTGGCTTCATATACCGAGCATTTATATTCTGATAATTGAGGTGGGACCCAGACGCCATGTACCACATTATGTGGTGGCTAAAGAAGGGTATACAAAAATCAGCACCATTTATAAACTTAATGAGTTCATAAATGTCAAATCATTAACTTGAAAAAATCAATTTATTTAGTTTAGTTAAAGAAATGGTTGGTGGACTTTCCCCTACATCATTACAACGTTTGTTTATAAACAAACCGGTTAAGAATCTCCGTACTTGAATGGAGTTTCGAATTTGCTAATGTCATGTTCATTAACTAAAAGTTTCTTATTGTTGAACACTTTAAAAAATACGCTTACTGTCCACATTTGGATAAAATTATTACATAATGCCTGCCCCAACGATTTTCAAAAAATTCTGATCCTGATAATCTGAAGTGCATTTGTTGTACGATAATTGTACACTCAATTGAAAGAGATTATTGCATAATAAAAAAAGAATAGTTCGGATATCTCCTATTCATCATTTACGACAGAAAAGTGATAAATAGATTTCTGGATCATACTTTTTGTGTTATAAACTCTACGAGAATGAAGTTCTATCAATAATAACGCGTTAATGTCACGAATGACTTTATTATATTATCATTTATAGTAATTTGAGTTCATGGTTGCAAATGATTATAATATTTAAAGTCTCTTTTAAATTACAATTTCACGCGATTATGACTTTTCGGATAGAACTAAATTATTCATTCCCTTTTTTAATAAAAAAGATTCGTGAAATTCGTCATTTTTAATGTCACACTACATACTTACAATGTTACACCATGATTTCATTGAAGCCATTCACGTCAGGTTATTTGAGATTTATCGCACAAATATAAATTATTTTTATAATATTCACATACGAAAGAAAGCCCTAGAAAAAAAAATGATTTTATTAATTAGTGTGAATTAATAAATAAATTATAAGTAAATAGGCTAACAATCAAATGTTGATGTTAGGTAAACAATAATTGGCTTCTTTCTCTAGAATTATGAATCATAACTTCATTAAAAATGTTTCGCCAGAAATGAAAGTTTTTTTCTTATAATAAACCTTAAGCACTTTTTTTTTAAAAAAAGTATATTTTTTGAAGTTCCCGCATTAAAGAAAAACAAGTATATTATTAATGACTCTTTAGAAAGACATTGGGATATTAACTGCAAGGGCCTGCAAGGGGCAAAATAAATTAAATTAACCAATCGCACAGTTATCAAAAGTTCCCTTGAAATCATTACTAAATTTTATTTATGTTATGTTCATTTTTTTTTCTTTATAAAAAATTGCTTCCATATCTAATAAAAGAAAATCCGAACAATTTTTTATGCTAGATAATCCTTTCGATCGTTAAAAACTGACTATAGTACCCCTGTGCATAATGCTCCCAGGTTTTTGGGGTACAATTTTGTAAATACCCGGGATATAATAGTCAGTGCTCTACGGGACGGGAAAATCTTTTGGAATTTTTGCCGCTAAAATTAGAATCATCATTTCCATTGTTATTATTAAAATTTTGCGTTTGTATAATTTATGAAACTTGTCAATCATATTCTAATTCGCAAGAAAGTAAAATTATCTCTCATTTTTATTATCGGCTATGAAAACTTGTGTTGCTGATTCATCTAATTCAACGAATGAAATGGCAAATATATCCAAGAAAAATTTTCTTTCTCATTTTATTAAAAGAATATTTTGTCACCATTGAAATTATGAGTTATAAATTCTTCTAAATGAAATTTGACAAATCATATGGAACCTTTGCAATAGAAAGGATGAAACCTTTCGGAAAAATCAATTTACTTGTATATGATTTTTAGTTCAAAATATGTTCAGATTTAGTATTAACTCATTTTTTATTTTTCCAGCCGTTTCCCCTTTTCTATTGCAAAGGTCCCACATTATAATTCATAACTTTGTTGAGAGTCAAATCTTGGGTTGCTGATTCTTCTAATTCATCTAAAGTGAAATGTGGAAAATTATATCTAAATTCAAAGGAACATTATCAAAAGTAAATTCTTCATTCTCATTTTTTAGTGAGAGGTACAAAACAGATATTTATTAACATTGAAATTTTGTATTGAAAAATTTTCCTAATTTTATCTAATTCTTGTAAAGTGAAATTTGCCAAAAATCGTATTCTAATTCTCAATGAACATTAATAATAGTATGAATTAATTAAATATTGAGTAAAGTTCAGAAACAATTCTCGGTCCTTATAATCGAGCAAAGTTTTGGAGGATCCTGTAAGCACATTATCGTTATTAACCAATCCTCTTCTATAATTGATCCGATCGGTGTCCAGACGTTTCGCCGAATCCGTTTCACCGAAACCCACTTCGCCGAAACTAATTCACCGAAAGGACTCTTCGCCGAACGACCACTTCGCCGAATGGACTTTTCACCGAAAGACGTTTTCGCCGAATGGACTTTTCACCGAAAGACGTTTTCGCCGAAATACCATTCCGCCGAAAGGACAGTTCGCCAAAATGCCGCTTTGCCGAAATGACGATTTTCCGAATCCTTTTTTCCGAATGGACACATCGCCGAATCCGTTACACCGAAAGGACATTTCGCCGAAAATGACTACTTCGTAACATTTGTTTAACTTATCATTTTTAGGTTCTACATTAAAAAGTAAGTTTTTCTTAAAAATTTCGTTGGAAATAATAAAAAAACGTTCAATAAATCTGACAAATTGCTAACAATCAACAGCGAATTATTTTCGTTTTCGGCGAAATGTCCTTTAGGTGAAACGGATTCGGCGAAGCGTCCTCTCGGTGAAATGTTCATTCGACGAAACTTCTTTTCGGTGAAAAGTCCATTCTGCGAAATGGACATTCGACGAAGTGGCCGTTCGACAAAATGTCATTTCGGTGAATTGGCTTCGGCAAAGGGGGTCGGGTTTCGGCGAAACGTACCGTAACCGATCCGATCAAATGATATTTAGCAGCCTGGATGGTAGTAGTAGTCCAGCCGTATTATATAGGCTATTTCGGTTCGGGTATGGATGTTACAATCTCTATATTTATTTTATTTCGGAACCGTTTCCTAGTTTTAGATCAAATTCAAAAGTTGCACTATTTGAAGAAAAATTTACAGTATAAAGACAGCCGATTATTTCCATTGCTTCTAGAATTTTTATTAGTCCGTAGGACTATATATTTCTACGCAGTATGACTCAAGATCCGCCCGCCCAATAATTTTTTAGTTAAGATTAACAACGGTCTTCGTTCCCTAGTTTAAAAAATCATTATTAGTAGTTATTGGAGTTATAAAATTAATAACTTCTTCTTTTGTATTATAATCGCAAGACATAATTAGGAGCAAGTTTTATATAGTTATTATGATTACCCAATTAATGACATTCTTCGTAGAATAAAAATTTGGTTAGTTCTCTATTTTATAGATTATTTGTTTCAGATACAATCATTATTAGATCACGTGATATTAATAATTTTTGTTTTTTATTTCGTTGGTGCCAAAAATCTTTTAATCCCAGTCATTGGTGGTTAATCGCAAAAATTCGGACCAATTAAATTCATTTAATATTTATAATGCATAATTTTTATTGGTCGATGCTTATCTCAAGGTTATAAAATATATATTTATAATAGATGAACTTAAAGCATAATTTGTATCTTATATACCGTAAATTACTCTTAACTTATCATAACTGTCAATAAAATTTATAATATAAAATATAAGCAAAATAAATATACCATAAAAAAAAAATATAATAATAATAAAAATAAAAAAAAAAAGAAATATAACGATGATTCCGAAAATCAAATTAAAAGATTAAAAAACATTCGCTACGATCGAAAAAATTAAGAATAATGAGAGTGTTAAAAAGAAGAAATTTACGAATTTTTGCTGTTATAATCAGAATTGTCATTGTTATCGTTTTATTAGGGGAGGTAAGAAGACGATACTTATTATTAAATTTTTTGTGAAACCTGTCAAATCAAATCTAATCACATGGAACACGATTGAAAGAAAATTTTCATTATCTTAATTATTAGAAGTATATTTGTCATCATTGACATTTTAAGTTGTAAATTATTCTAAAAGTGAATTTGTCAAATCATATTCTAATTCACAAGGAACATTGTTGAGAATAAAATTTTCATTCTCATGATTATTATCGCCGTTGAAATCTTGTATTGCAGATTCTTCTAATTGATCTAAAGTGAAATATGGGAAATTATATTCAAATTCGAAAGGAATATTATCAGTAGTAAATTCTTCATTCTCGTTTTTTTTAGGGGAAATACAAGATGGATATTTGTCAACATTGGAATTATGTGTTGTAAAATTCTTCTAAAGTGAAATTTGACAAATCATATTCTAATTCGTAAGGAATATTGTTGAGAATTAAACTTTCATTCTCATGATTATTATAGCCATTTAAATTTTGAGTTACTGATTCTTCTATTTCATCTAAAGTGAAATTTGGCAAATTACATTCTAATTCGAAAGGAACATTATCAATAGGTAAGTCTTCATTCTCGTTTTTTTAAGGGAAGTACAAGATGGATATTTGTCAACATTAGAATTTTTTATTGTAAATTTTCCTAATTTTTCTAAATCTTGTAAAGTGAAATTTGATAAATCGTATTCTATTTCGCAAGGAACATTGTTAAGAGTAAATTTTGCGTTATACCAGTGGTGTGCAAAAAAAAATGACAATTTTTTTAAAAAAAGATCGACAAGTGTAACTAGCCCAATTTTGGTCGTACATACATAAATAAATATGCAAATGAAAGCCCTATGATTACTCTATCGCCTCCAAACGAAACTTTTCTCATACGTTAGTAAAAATTTTAATTTATTAAGCATTAAAATGACTTCATCTAAGCAAGAAACCCAGCGTCAAACAATTTTACAATTCTGGAGGAATGGGATACACAATGCTGCCAAAATACACTCATTGACAAAGATTCCACTTAAGACTATCTACCGGAACCTTAAAAAAATTGAAGTTACTGGGGATGTTCAACGTAAAAGTGGTAGTGGACGCATTAAAAAAATAACACCTAGGGCATCCATAGCAATTGGGCAGTATATTCGAAGGGAATTCTCAATTTCTTCTCAATCTATTGCTGATAAATTGGAAGATATTGGAGTAAATGTCTCTCGCTCAACAGTTTCAAGGCATTTGACTGATCTTGGATATCGAAATGCACTTCCTCTTCATACACCAATGTTAACTCCAGTCCATATGCAAAATCGTATTGAATAGGCCCAAAAACACAAGGATAATAACTGGAAAAAGACCTTATTTAATGATGAAACAGCTTTCCAATTATTCAGGAATACAATAAGACATTGGTATAGAGATGCAAGGCCAATTCGTCAAGTACCAAAGGATAGAAGTAAAATATTCGCCTGGGGTGCTTTTTGTGTAAAGGGTACCACCAGTTTTTTTTGTTTTAAACGTATAATGGATGGAAAATTTTACACAGAAATATTAGAAAAGCAACTTCCAGAAGTGCGTAGTATATTACAAAGTAGATGGAGATTGCAACAGGATAATGATCCTAAGCATTGTAGTAATATTGCTAGAGAATTCCTTGATAATAATATTCCAGAAGTTATGGACTGGCCTTCCAATAGCTCAGACTTAAATCCAATTGAAAACCTTTGGGCAATTGTTAAAAGAAAGGTGGCGTTGCATAGGCCAAAAAACCTTAGCAAATTAGAGCATTTTTTGAAGGAGTGGGAAAATATTCCAAATAATACTCTAATTAATCTTGTAAACTCTATGTCACAGCATTGTAGGGACGTTATTGAAAAAAAATGGTAAACAAATATCATATTATTTTTTTTTAATAAAATCTATTGCTTCTTAGCTTTAAAATAATATATTGTATGCTTTGATTGATAAAGTGGTTATGTAACTATCATAATTGTAAAAATTGTCATTTTTTTTACACCACTGTATATAATATATAAATAGTATTCTGTTAAAATAAGTGATAGCATAATATTTTAAGCCTTGCAAATACTCACATCGATTCAAATGTTTCTAGAATTAAATCTTCTTGATCATCTTCTAGCTTTTTTTATCATTTTCTTATTAATAATTTACATTTTTTAAAATTTTTCATTTGCTATCTAAAAAATAAATGTGCTATTAATACAATGAATAATTGCGTATTAAAATTTACATAAAAGAAAATATACTTTTGTTATTTTGTGACAATGTAAAATATCATTATCTGACAGTTCATAAGAAGCAAATTCATTTTTAATATTATCAAAAATATTTTTTATAAATTCAGGTTCAATCATTTCTAGAATCCCAGTTGAAATATTTTTCTCAAATAAAAATATATGGTTTAAAGATCTAAAATAATTATGGGGAAAGAGTAATAAAAAAGTCAAAAACAAATAAGCATAAAAGATTTAGAAGTTTAAAACTTACAGTACTTCTGCAGGCTCTTCAATCTTATTCTCTAAAACTTGTTAAACAGATATATCACGATATTCTAATAATAAACTTGAAATATCAAGTGTATCAGAGATCCATTACATATATAAGGAAGAATTAAAAACTTTTGTAAATAAACTTAAATAAAGTTTAAGCATTATTTTGCTTGCATTCTCACTTAATGAAGATTTCATAATACCTGGTTTTGTAAACTAATTATAGGTATAATTGATTCTCTTTTTTATTTCAATAAAGGTATCATTATTTGGATCATTTAAAATTGGATGATAGGATTTATCTGAAATATTTTCATCAGGCGTTTCAAGTAAAACAAGTTTATTCTCATTAAGAGTCTCAGACAATAGGAAAATTGTTGGAATCATCTTTTACTACTTACTAGAAACGAGAATTTATAAAATTAAAATAAACAAATTCTCATCGAATTTTAATACACATTACACTATTAATCTTTGCAAACTGTTTTGGAAGGCTCTCTTTTGCAACATCTAGAAATCGTTTTGTAAGTCGAGAAATACATAGTATAAGTTGTTTTGTGACGATTCTCTAAAATTTGGAACTAACATATATAGCATGTTAAATTATAACGAGATTGATCAAAAAAAAGCTCATATGTTTGTAACTAAAGATGACACTGCAACTAGTTGCAACCGGTGACAAATAAGCATCACAGAGTTGCAACCAATTGTAACATTAATAAAAATTGAGTTGCAACTAGTTGCAATTGATAACAAATAAACATCACATAGTTGCAACTAATTGCAGTGTCATCTTTATTTGTAACCTACCATATGCCATTTTTCAGCAATACAAGACCAGTCTTCTTTGTCAATAGTCACCTACATTTTCATAATTTTGAAAAATTATTAATTATTAGGGTGAGAGATGTGATGCATAATTATGAGAGAAAATGCATAATGTTGGAAATCTAAAAAACTGCAGTCAGTAAAGCCCAACTGAAGTTCCCTAACACTACTATATTTGCAATATTAGGAATCTAAAAAACTGCAGCCAGTAAGCCCAACTGAAGCTCCCTAACACTACTATGTTTGCAATGTTGAAAATCTAAAAAACCGCAGTCAGTAAACCCAACTAAAGCTTCCTAACATTACTGAATATTTTTTATCAAATTTAATTGAGATATACTTCCCTCTATATTCAGTATTTTTGCACTTAAATTGAAATGCTTCGTCCATGCTCCCTCCAGTCTTTGGAAGTTACTCATTTGAGTAGATGATCTGGCTATGAAGTCAACATTTGAACGAATGAATTCTGAGAAAGAAGGGATAACTTTTTCCTTTGATACCCACGCGAAATATAACCTAAAAACTGAAAATTTGATATTGTATTGTGAGTGAATGTAGAAAGTCACATCTGTTTCAGAAAACGTGTACTTGCCATCGAAGCCATGCGGTTTCTTTTTGTTGGCTCATACTAAAGAGTTTTAAGTAAACAAATAAATGAAAATTTCGTTTCATCTTTGTAACACATGATAACTTTATATAGATCAAGCGCCATGTCGATCATGGCAAATGACATTTGATCGACAAAATTCTTCTTTGACTTTTGTAGTTTTTTTGCAAAAAAAAAATACAAAAAGATTGTTAATGGAGTATGAGTCGAAAATCATTTTAAACTGCCTCTTCCAGAACAGTATCCTTGCTTTTCAAGGTTGATATTGACAGAAACCAGTCGGTAAAAGAGCTGGAGAAAATTATCTTGATCTTGACAGCAATGTTGGCAAATGACCTCGAAATGACCTTAAATGACCTCAAATGACATCATTTTTATTATAAATTTCAAGTCAAAATGACCAAAGGTTATTTAAAAAAAAAAATAGTAAATGACCTTATCACTGGTTTAGACTGGAAAGTATCTAGAGGGATTTATACGAATACGTCAGCTATTGTTTTCTACGTTATACGTAAAAGGTGTAATTCCGATAAGTAGTGAAATTTTTTCTCGGAGCATTTGTGGTATAAAAACGGACGTGCGTGAGGGTTTTTATAATCATGTGGAATCCACGTTGCCGAAAGTATAAGACAGGTGTTTCTCCTGGTTGTAGTATTGGAATTACTTCTTGCAATACTCGAGTTGGAACTTTAAGAGCTTTTGTAGAAAATAAAAATAATTCAAGTAATAACATCTATTTTTTGAGCAACGATCACGTTCTTCGTCTAAAATGTGGTTCTGAGATGAAAAGCAGTGTTAGACAGCCAGCTTATAGTGATTATGAAGGCGCTACTAAAAGGAAAATAGAAGGAGAAAAATATCTATTAGAAAAAGCACAGTATGTAAATAAAAATAAAGAAGAAATTGAAAATAGATCCGACATAAAGATGAGGGACGAACCTCTAATAACAATCGAAACATAGACGAAACTATATTAATATCATAATAAGGGATACGACGAAACTCTTTCGATACGACGAAAGCCGAAACTGTCGAAACTATATTAAAAACATAGAAAAGGGTGACGAAATTATTTTGAAGAGGTTTCGGCAGGCATCTATAATCCGACAAGATAAAAGAATTGAAAAAACGGTTGGAGAGAACTCGGCATATTTGTAAAGGGTAAACGCGGTATTTATGAAATTAACAATAAATCGTATGGAGTTGATGCTGCTATAGCCTTAGTCAATAACCCTGATAGGAAACGCTACATAAATCCAAAAGGTTTCGCCATACCTGATATAATATTTAGAGATCGTTCCCTTGTGCCTATTAAAATTTCTGGTGACATCAAAGATGTTAGTTCAATTATTCCTAAAGAGCTCGTATTTAAAGTTAGGCGCACGACTGGTTTAACCAAGGGAAGCATTGCTGATTCTAGCTTCTATTGTTGTTGATGGAACAATCACCAATTTTAGGTGATGTTCTTATGGATAAGATTGAATTAAAAGGAGAAACAATATTCCCATCTATACGGTTAGATAGTAAAGCAAATACAGCGTGCAGATGATGAAACCTTTATTAGACATGGAGACTCGGGTAGGGAAAATCATAGCCTTGGGTCACGGTGTTCTCATTATAAATAATTTGAATCAGGATTATCCTGTAGGAAATCCAATTAATGCCGTGATAGAGGCCCTTTGAAATTAAACTTTATTTGGGAAATTAGTAGCACTTCATAGCATAGGTATTAATAAAATTTTTTCTTGGCTAAACGTTAACATTGCAAACGATCAGTCGAAATAACCTACATATTTTTTTTCGATCTTGAATACTAACATACAGAGCATAAAATATTATCGATACAATATATTATCTGTATCGCGAAAAACGTGATCATATATCCGGTTAGCTATGCTAACCAACTTTGTATTTATAAAATGTGTAAAAACTCTTTAACACTTTATCTGATCTCCCCTCAAAATTAAGGAAAAAGCTTTCCATTATTTCCTTGCCTTAATTACATGCACAGCGCCTTTGGCTAAAATTCTTTATTAAAATAGTTAGATTATCTCCCGCAGATGACAGGGAGGGGCCAGTGACGATAAATTTATATATGCTATTGGCGCATTTTGTGAAATCAATTCCAGAAAAACAATATTAAAAGTCAACCTATGTTTTATTTGTCCCACACGTGATCTACCAATAAATAATTTATATTTTTAAGAAAGGAGTAAGTTACTTCAGTATAAGATATAGAAGTATCGGATAAAGTCATGATACAAAATTTTTTTCATTACTTGTAGAATTTATGATGTTATGCCGTATATATAATCTAAATTTATATTACCTCACAAGTTTTTTCTCGTTAACAAATAAACGTTCAATAAATTTCGTCTAGTCCCAGATTTTATTTTTCAAAGTTGCATTCATTAAATCGTTATAACATTCTTTTTTTTTTTTTTTAAAAAAAAAAAAAAAATATTGGAAGGAAATGTTTAAGTTTATATGATTTTTTTAATTTGAAAATTAAGTAATAAAAACTTGTGAAATTTTGACAATATGAAAAAGGAAAGGTGAATAAAGATAAGGGGCTACGGTCTTTAACAATATATGAATTTTTTTTTTTTCGAATTGGATATCGTCTTTCTCTAGAAAAACGATTTTTTCTTTGCATTCAAGGATCAGAAAAAACTACCTTGGCAAATTTAATCTCGCAGAAAATGTAAACAATTTAATCGGAAAACAAATAGCTATCAATATATCAATGGGTAGATATCATTACCCAAAAAAAATATTGGGCACATTTTTTTTTAAATAAAAACAAATTTCTTCATCTTCCGATGACGATGATTATTAATAAATTTGAATCAAAGGTTCAAGGATAATAATGCGATTGGCCTTCCATTATCTATTGTAAGTCTAAACTATGAGGCAATTTTCAATTACATCTATTAATGTCCCAATTCTTTTTTAATCAATCATTAATTAATTGACTCTACCATAACAAAAAAAAAAAAAAAAAAAAAAAAAAAAAAAAATATTTAATTTCAAGGTATTTCTTTATCTTCGACTACACTAATTTCAGTAGTGTCAGAAGTGCGTTGAATAACCGTCGCAGTAGTAGCTTTGTTGACAGTAATATTCAATTTCCTATTTGTATTATTAATTGCTTGATTTTCCATACTGATGAGTGTTTTCGAGTTTAAGTGAGATTGTGATGAAGATGAAGATGTTGATTTATTAGAAGAGCTTGCTGGCTTCCTTAAATTCTTTATCACACTGTTAAAAAAAATAATAATAATAATTAAATTATGATACGAAATTCTCATTGTTTTTTTTTTTTTACATGAACACTTACAGATAAATCAAAGCACTTTCAACACTGAAACCCAATAATGGGAAAGCAACATATCCAATCCAATAATAAAATAAATTCCATCCAAAATAATAAACTGTATTGCTTCTATGCGTTAAACTCATAAAGACATATATAATCGCCTGAAATAATAATCCAAAAACTATCGCCATAACCGGTATAGTTAGCTAAATAAAATTATTAAGAACAATTTAATTCATCAATCAAATTTTAAAAAGAAAATTTATTTTTTATTTTTGATACTTACATTTCTGGTACCTCGTTTGATATGTTCGATATGACTGTTACTAGCAACCCCGGAAGCTTCACGTTCTTCTAATACTTTGATATGTTCTTTGATTATAGATGTTAACCTGTACCAGTAATATGCTAATACTGTAAGGTATGTAATTTCCCAAGCTACCCAAGCAAGGTAATGTGCAACATAGTAAGTATTTGCCAATTTAACATCATTCATTTCAGCGTAATGTCCAGCTAATGAGGCCAAAGGGATCAACGTGACTAATGGTTCAAAAAATAATAAAATTCCAACGATGTCAACTACACGTGAGTTTGGTCCAACATAATTAAAATTTTTAACGCTCGAATTCCTATTATCAGTTCGTACGTTTGGTGTGGAATAAACTGTTGAAACAAGTTATGATATTAAATTAATGAAATAATGAAATGATTCGCAAGAAATAATATATCTTACCTATACTAACGGGATATAATGTTGCCACGGCTGCCGAAGTGGAATCTGCCATCACATTGCCAACTATGGAAAAGGTTTAATTCTTTTCTTAATCGCATGTTACACGAACTTCAAAAAAAAAGAAAAAAAAAAAAATTTTGCTCACTTTCAGCTGCTATCAAATTAGGATATAATTCATTTACCAAAAATATCAAATGAAGTCCTTCGACTAAAATTTCAATTTAATCGCATATTAGATTTTTTTGTTCAAAGGTGAAATAAATATCTTGTCATCAAAGTGTACTTACAAAACATATAAGCAAACACTATCAAGTGATAAGTATGCAAAGGTCTAGGCCTCAACCATCCTCTTTCTTGTGCGGCATTCAAGAAGAACGGTTGCTTCTTAATCTTGATAAGGTAGAATAAAAATCCTCCAGACATTATCGTTACCAATATACATATTGGTATCAACATCTTTCCCCCAAAAACATAAAATTCACTATGTGGACAATCATATAGGTTTATACGATAATCACATGAACAAATTTCTTCTCCTGCGTCTGTTGTCTTGCATAAACGAGTGAAATTGGTTAAAAGGCGGACCATATTGAAAAAAAAAATGAGAGATGATACTTGAGAAATGATAAGGAATGTTATTTAAATGGAAGAAAAACTTTTACAAAAAAATCGAACAAAGCCCGAATACTCGAATGTAAATTATTTTTATACTATATACCGAAAAGAGACGTCGGGGATTTCTGACCATTTTAGCCTAAACCTTTTACATAATCTTATAAATTAAATTGCATACCCAATCAATCCAACGAAATATTAATATAAAAAAATCACTTTTTGGGTATTTTTTTTTTTTTGGAAATGATCTTCGTCCAATAAAAATGCCAAAAACATTTTTACGCAATTTAATTTTATTTCCTCGACGGCTCGGCTTTTGCTCTTTTGGTATTTTTTGTTTTCCTCGATCAGTTTCAAAAATCGATTTCATTATTATGGAAATTTACATAATTACAACGCACTAAATATTACTATTATTATTATAATGATTGAAGCATGCAGTTAAACGGTTGAAACTTAATGACACAAGCTGTAAAGAATTCAAAAAAGAATAAACAAAATTTAATAAATGATTGCACACATTTTTGAGTCATCTTACAGGATATATCGTAAGATATCCGAATGCATCAAGGTTATATTCTGAAATATTTCTATGAAAAAAAGAGGGCTTCCGAGGCTGTGTTTACAAGTTTATAGATATAGACATCAAATTTATGATAGTTGATATAAGGGGAACTGTCCCGTGTGTAAAATATGAAATACACCTTTATAGTTGGTTATAATTATTACACAACAATATGAGCTTTGACCTTACCTAATTATTATAAATATCTTAAACTTTAAAGCGTAATATCTCCGACAAAAGGAACATCGTGAAAATCTGACGCAAATTGGTGTGTGTTTCATCAAAAAACTCAAAAAACAAATCAAAACGCCGTGTAACATGTACACGTAGGCAAAGGATTTTATATAAAATCAATTTCTTCGTATTTTCAGACGGTCGACCATACAAACAATTGATTTCTGGCATGTTAAAAGCGACATTTTTGTTTTGTTACATTGATGATGATGATAAGCAATTTAAAATGAAAAATCATTGGTTTTGCAAATCTTTTTTTAATTAAAGTTCGATCGCTAATTTCCGATCAATACATTTTTTTATTAAATAATTATTTTTTTATTTGATGTTAAAAATTAGGTATGTTAACCGGTCCTTTAACCGGTCCTTACGATTTAAGAGATTACTAATTTTAGAGAAGTCTAATCACTTATCTCCAATCAATAAAATGCCATAATTAATTTGTAAAAAGCAATTTTGATAGGACCGGCCCTATAGGGACCCGGTCCTTTATCCTAAAATTTTAAATTTTTAAGAAATTCTGGAATTCCAAGAGGGTTTATTATTTAAGTAGCTCATTAAAACTTTATAATAGACAAGTTTCATAATAAATTTGTAAATATAATTTTCTTGGGACTTTTAGGACCGTTTAACATCCCTACTAAAAAAAATATGGTGCTTTTTTTTATTCGTAAAAAAGACATGAAATAATGGTTGATCTATAAAAGTTATTTTAATTCTTATTTTCTGATAATTATTTGACTAAATGGATGTTTTAATTTCAATGGTTTCAGAAGTGCAATGAATAACTGTTGGATTAGCTCTTGTTGTACTACTAAAATGATCATCCGTACTAATATTATTATTCGAAATAGTTTTCGAGTATGTTGATGATGATGAAATTAAACTAGAAGAGTTTGGTGGCTTTCTTATATTCATGAATGCACTAATTTTTTTATTTAAAAAAAAAAAAAAAAGGAAAATAATCATTAACAGATATAAAAGAAAAAATAAATAAATAAATAATAGATTTACGATAACATGAAACGCTTACTTGTAAATCAAAGCACTTTCAATACCTATTCCCAATAATGGGAAAGCAACAAATTCCATCCAATAAAAACATAAATTATATCCAAAATAAAAAATTGTATTATTTCGATATGTTAAACTTATAACGACATATATCATCGACTGAAATAATAATCCAAAAAATATCGCCATAACAGGTATGGTTAACTAAATAAAAATTAATAAAGAAAATACATTTTAATTCGCACTATTTAAAAAAAAAAAAAAAAAATTTTTTAATTACTTACATTTTTGGTGCCTTGTTTGATACCTCTGACCTGTTTACTATTAGGATCATGTTGTTCTAGCGTTGTAAGATGATGTTTGATTATAGACATTAGCTTGAACCAAAAATATGCTAATATCACAATATACGCAATTTCCCAAAGTACATAAGCAAGGTAATGAGCCATAAATAAAATGTTTGCCATCTTTATATCATTTAATTCGGCGTAATATCCCGTTAATGAGGCCAAAGGCAACCACGAGATTATCGGTTGTATAAATAATATAATTCCAATGATGTCAACCATACGTGGATTTGTTTCGTTTAAGTTTCTGAGATTCGACGGTTCATTTTCGAATCGTATGTTTGGTGTGGAATAAACTGAAGGGAAAAGTTGTAAAACAAAAGTTAGTAGAACGAAAGAAAAGTCAAGAATCGTTTATTGAGAGCTTTGAATATTACCTATACTAACGGGGTAAAATACAGAAACAGCCCCCGTACATAAATTTATCAAAACATTACCAACTATGGTAAAAGTTTTTTAGTTAGTTAATTGCGCAAAATGAAAAACTTCAACCCCCCAAAAATAATTACTTTCAGCTGCTATGATGCTGGGATATGATTCATTTACCAACAATATTAAATGAAGCCCTTCGACTGAAATTAGATTTATTTATATTAGATTTTTTTTTTTTTTTTTGTCAAGTATGCAAACAAAAAAAAAGGTATACTTACAAAGCATATAAGTAAACACTATCAAATGATAAGAATGTAAAGGTCTAGGCCTCAACCATCCTCTTCCTCTGCTGCCATTCAAGAAGAACGGTTGCTTCTTAATTTTGATAAGGTAGAATAAAAATCCGCCAGACATTATTGTTGCCAATGTACAAAACACTATCAATATCTTTCCCACTAAAACATAAAATTCACTTTGTGGACAATCATATAGGTTGATTCGATAATCACATGCACAAAGTTCTTCTCCTACTTCAGTTATTTTACACACGCGAGTGAAATTATTTGAAAGACGGACCATATTTGAAAATGAAAACTTTTTGGAGATTACTTTGTGATAAATGAACTGCCATGTCCATAATTTTTTTTTTATATTTATAACCTTTCGGGATTTATGACAATTTTAGCTAATCTAATTCCGAAATAAAACTTTAAATTTTACATAATCTTATAAATTAAATTGTGTACTTCTAAGCTCCAATCAAAAAAACATAATTATTTTTTTTTGGAAGGAATTTTTAAAGTTTGTCTCACGATCTTATTTGAACTTTGGCGTGCGATGGGAATCGACCAACTTGATGGAGTACATGAAATTCTGAAAATCTTTTGGATATTCATACTTTAATACTTTTAGAGCCCAACGAATGAACCTTTACATATATTTGTTGTGTAAAGTGAGGATCACAAAAAAATAAAACCAATTTCGGTAATATTCTCATCGTATCCAATAAAATGTCGGACAATTTTTGACGCAATTACCCGCTTTGTGTAGGACGATTGGCAATCTAAAAAGAAATTTGGAAATTTGGATTCTCGATTTACAAGATAGATTGACAAAACGTATTATTTAAACATTTCATATGATCAAAAATTCCGTTATCTAGGATCTCACAAAGAAAATAAGTCATGTGAATTAAAAAAAAATGTTTTTTTAATAATGATTCTTTCCTTAATCAATATAAATTATTGGTCATTATAATGATAAACATTAAAACCGAATTATTACACGTTTTCGTTACATCAAATAATCGATTTAGTATAAAAAGCGTAATATCTCCGAGACCACGGATCCAAATTTCACGGGCCTAACTAATATTATTGCATATATCTTTATTGTGCGCACAGATCCTTTTTCATGTAGTATTATTATTGATCATTGATGGTACACAAATTTTTTGTTTATTTTAATCAGCAAAGTAAGCAAGTTTATGTGTTTATCATGTAATCCCAAAGTGATCAATCTTACGAAAAGGATGGTGCTTACGTTAGAGAAACACACGAGGGTGGTTTCAAGTTCACGGCCTCCGTGCGTAATCAGTTTTCGTTCACAACATACCTTTATTATATTATAACCTGATTTAGTAACTTGTAAAGTTAATTATTCTTAAGTTCGAAATATATGGCAATTCTACTAAGTATTTTTCTTTGACTCATAAATTTCTATTAATATAAAAGGTAAAGTTTAATATTAATATAACTGGGTAATCGGGAAATACTATACTTATTTGGTAGGTCACGTGTGGAACAGACACCACTCGGCTCTAACCGAAAGTGTCCTACGCTTACGTTTCAAACAATTATATTAACGTTAATATATGGGATGGGATCTTTGCAATAGAAAGGGGTGAAACTGCCGGAAAGAATAAAAATGAGTTTAATACATATTTTGACCAATCATATTGGCATATAAAAAAAAAATTTGATATCTTCTGGCAGTTTCTGCCCTTTCTATTGCAAAAGATTCCATATTATAAATTTATAATATATAATTTAATTCTTATAGTATATAAAAATATAATATAAAAAATTTTCTACCTTTAAATTATTTAGTAGCAAAAATAGTATTTATATTTAAATTATTTTATTCTAATTAAATTAAATCTAATTTTTTTTTTAATTAATTTTAAATCTTATATAAAATATAAAAATTTATAATTAAAAAAATGATTTTTAGTTTAAATAATTTAAATTTAAATAAAATATAATTATTTTAATATTAATAAATTGATTATTTAATTTTGATAATTGTTTAATTTTAGTTAAAAATTTAAATTACTAATGATTGAAAAATTACTGATTAAAATCTGTTTATTCTTAACTTAACCTGAAATTATTCTGATATTTCTATTATTTTACATTGCTTAACTCTAATTAATATTGATC